GTGTTCAAGAGAAAATAAGTAGAAAGTAGATGTCTTAGAATATCACAGTAGTTTATATTGGTATTTCATAGACGTAGTGTGTGCATAAGCAAATGGAAAAATGTAGTACAATTAGTTTGTCTTTCAACTTGTGGATCATCATACCATACTACCCTCCACTATAAAGAAAACTAATATCTATCTTGAAACTAAAAGAGATCTGGTTTAGCTAGAAGAGACTTAAAAGAACAAAATTTGATGCAAGACATCTTGCTTACTACATGGTTTCTTAATACGTCTTGCATATCATTTTCGTTAGGGAAAAATGCTTCAAGGACCCAAAATGATCAAGTGAGTGCGACTAAGCCCCAAGACTTGGTCAATGCGTGCCCTTAAAATGAAATTGAAATGTGATTCAGCCCCTAAAGTGATTCAGCATACTGCATTTTCCTTAAAAACCCCAAAATGCCCCCCTTCAACAAACTCCATCCATCTCCTCTCTTCTTTAACAAAACCCCAAAATTCACCAGTGCCTTCAACAACCTCTCCCCCCTCTTTCTCTCAAATTCCTCCATCAAAAAATCCCTACAAACCCAAGCAAAGCTCTCGCCTTCTCCAATTCCTTGACCACCTCATCTGCCTCAACGACTTCTCATTTGATGTCGCCGTACTCCCTGTCCAGAGATTGCTTATTTTATAAGCCCATTCTCAATTCCATATCAAAAGCAACTAAGCATAGCTTATGATTGAGGATTTCTTTTCGATCGAGAGCCTAGGATTTCTGCAACATGCAAAAGATTCGATTTTGATTGATTTTTCTTTGAAATGATGAAATTTATAGATGCATATTGAGAAAACGAAGGATTCAAAGGCGGAATTTGAGGAGGAGGAAATCTCTAGTGGTGGCGATGCAAGATTGATGATCACTCCTCCACCTAAATTGAGCTGCTAGACCGCCTACTTTATCCGCCCTCCGACTACATGCAGGCACCGACCCTATTCCCAACAAGAAATGACTCTCCGCCTCCTCTCTTCGCTACCACATTGATTTAGGTATTAATATCAAGAACTTGTTAATGCTAATAATAAGTTGTTATATATAAAGACCGGTTGTTAATGTTAAGAGTTACTTGTTAGAGTTAACCATTGGCTATTAATGTTAATAAGTCAGTTGTTAAACTTAACGATTGTTTGTTCAACTCATGACTTAGAGTTAACTATTGGTTGTTTAGCTTATGAGTCAGCAGTTAGGCTTAACTATGATTGTTAAACTTGTGAGTTAGTTGTTAGTTTTATTGGTTATACGTTAACCTTATGTTTTATATGAATCTTTTTTTGTATGTGCTTCAGGTACGATCACGTTACCTTATATATTGCTGCTTCATTTAATAGCTGAATATCAAAAGCTTGAATGTTACGTATCTTGGTGGTAACTACACACAAGATGATTTTGGCGCATATGCATGATAGATGGGTTTTAGCTTCAATATGGAACTGATTCTTATGTCCATAAGCTGAGTTCTAAAACTTAAGTCCTAAAGTTATATTATGACAATTGATTTCTAACTTTGGAAATTCTATGACCAATCACCGAAAAAATGTGAAAGTGGTGGACCAAAGAGAAGTTTGGTTCACTGACTAGTTTGGAAATCTCTTTTTTCTATGATTGCCAATGGTTTGCAGAGAAACAAACAAAGAAGGTCATAACTGGAGTGCATGTGAAGAACCAACTGAAAATTTTATTGATTGGATGACTTTCATATTGTGTGAAATATGCTAATGTATTTTACTTAAACATTCAAAGTTAAAGAATCAGATTAAAGTATGGTTGTAAATGTTGTGAGTTATTTATTAAATTTAAGGGTTGACTATTAAGTTTAGGAGTTAGTTGTTAGATTTAAGTATTGATTGTTAATGTTGGCCATTAGTTATTAAACTTAAGTATGGATTATTAAACTTAAGAGTTAGTTATTAGGTTTAAGTGTTGATTATTAATATTGTCTGTCAGTTGTTAAACTTAAGGATTGGTTGTTAAACTTATGAGTTATATGCTACATTTAAGTATTAGTTCTTAAGCTTAAGAGTTAATTGTTAAAGTTAAAGATTTACATCATATATCGCAAAGAAAATATTACCTGATAACATTAAATAAAATATTGCTAACCATCCATGCTAAACACAAACAACGAAGTGTTTACAAACAACTAACTATTAACAAAAAATCAATAAACTTAACATATAACATATAAATATAATTAGCTATTAATCTTTAACACTAACTGTTGACCTTAACAACTAAGCACAAAGCTTACAACTAAGCACAAAGCTTAACAACTAAAATTTCAAACTTAACAACTAGCTACTAAGCTTAACAACTAACTTTCAAACTTAACAATAAACGTGTATGCTTAACCAACCCATAAATTTAACATCCAAGCATTATATTTGACATACATCATTTAAAAATACTTGCTTTTTTTTTAGAGTTGGATTTGGTATGGTCAATTTTCACCCCTTGGAAGTTTTTCAGAAATGGCAAATAACATCCTGAAAGTTTTCAAAATTGCAAATAGCCACCAAAAATTGCAGAAAATCCCTTGATAGCTTTACAAATCGCAAATAATTCCCTAAAAGCTTATAGAAAACCCCCAGAAAGTTATAGAAACTAAAATAACCCCTGAAAATTTACAAGAAACCACCAACATGTTGGTTGTTAACCTTAACAGAAAAGGGGAGAGAGCGGCACGAACTCAAACAAAAGGGTGACATGTCATGGGGTTATAATGAGGGGTAGAATGGAGATTTTTTTGGACGCTTGATGATGAGGTGGCATTGTATAATGGGGTTTAATTACATTTATTTCTTACTTTAGGGGTTTGGACACTCATTAACTTAGTCTCGGGGCTTTGTCACATTCACTTTATTTTCTTGGGGCCTCGTAACATTTTTCCCTTTTCCTTGCTAACAAAAAGTTTTATTCTCTTAATTTGCTTCATAAGTTACCATTCAAGGCCCCTAATACCTTCATTTGGACATTCAGAAAACTTTTTTTAGAAATCGGTCTTGCTTAATTAGCATTTATATATTTTCATAATATTCTTGGGGTCTTGATATGAACTTAGTTAAACAAATTTATTTAAATCCAGATAAATAACATAAAAGAAGCCGTCTGCCAGAAAATCCACATAGTAATTTTATTCATACAAAGCCTTCATACCTTCAGAGAATTTGAAACCTTAGAACTGAACTCCCTTGCAGCTCTCATTCCATTTACATAGTCACTCTGCAAGGAATCAAGAAAGTCATACAAAGAGAGAAGAAAAAGCGATTTTTAAGAACATACAACTTAAAATCCATTACTTGTTTATTGAGGGGTGTATGATATGTACGGAACGAAGAAGCTTGAATAGTGCCACTCTCATATCCTGACGACAGCAACAACCATGCTTATAAAAACCCAAGTTTCACCTCTAACTGAACTTCAAAAAATTTGGACTGTGCTAGTGGACATCTGCACTTGTAGTTAAACTACAGGTCATATGAATAGAATAAGGCAGAGACAGACCAGTTAGATCCACACTGCTAGTATAAGCTCCATTGCCTCCCTTAGCACAATTTGAAGAAGGTAGTGCCTTGAGAAACCACGGAAGCTTTTCCTTAAACTGCGCCGTAGATGGACGGCCATCATGCAAGTCTGAATGACGGAAGCACTAGGAACACCAAACAAAGAATCTCTTTCATCAAAGGTATTAATTAAAAAGCATTTGCTTAGACGTCAAATACTAGCAAGTAAAAATAATTCAAGAAAAAGCCTATTCCACTTGTTTAATGATTGATTCACCGAATCTTTACATCAGTTAATGCTATATAAAATGGGATAGCTGGATACAAGAAGCATGTAAACAGATTAAGACTCAGATCTCTGGAGATAAACTTACCGTCGTGCAGTCTTTGCATATTCCAGCAATTCCACACGAACTATCACCAGGCTGACAGCAGGGAGGCTACAAACATATAATTTCAAGTCGCATCCCATATTGTTACGAGTACACTCATGGACACAAAAATGAGATTCAATGAAATCAGAGTATTAATTTTTTTAATCACAAGTGTCAACAGTAACAAAATAATTATGAAGATAGATCTGTGCCTAAATATTTATCATGATAATCAAATGAATAATATCATCAAGAACCATTAACTTCATTAAATCATACAAATATTGCTCAATGACATGATTAATGTCGCAGACCAAGTAATTTTAATACCAGTGATGATGAAGAATGCTTGTGGCTAGTTCACCTGCAATGGATGATCAGCTGAAGCCTCCCAAGCCTCCATGAATTTGGATTCTCATTAGGTTAAATTTAGTTATATTTTGTTTCTTTCTGAGTTTGAATCCAAGCTAAACTGAGACAGAGTTAGAAAAGTACTACTCCAGTTGAACTCTACTTGAGTTCAATTATTTACGAAGATTGTATACTTTTGAATTGGTTATTTAGATTTTTTTTTTTCTTTTATGTGAACTCTGCTTCTATATTATCCTAAATAGGAGATGGAGACAGCAGTCCTGTGAGGAGAGGAATTGTGTTCGTTTTTGTTCCAATTAATCTATAGTAATTAATTTTCTGTTTTGTAATTTATCAATTTCAGTTCTGTGATTTATTGGTTGAGATTTGGTTCTTGTGTTAAACAGTATTTTTCTAACAATTGCAGTATCTCTATTTATATTGTATGTACAATGTTATCAGAACCCAAACTCAATCGTTCTTCTAGAAATTCAAAAAGTAATCCGAATGGTTCAATAAATGGAGTTATAAATTGAACACTCAGAAGTTAGAACTGATCAACTCACCTCTGAGACCTCTCTGCAAGACCAGCTTCATTCAAATGCCAAATCAAGATCAGGTTCATGGAGCTAAAATATAAAAAGAGGCATACAACAGGAAAAAGCCACACTTTTTTCTTTGGCAGAAAAGGTACATTTCGTTCCTTCCCTCCCTCAGTTCCTCTTCTTCCTTTCCCTAGCCTCTCTATGAAAAGAAGAGTGCTTTGAGAAATGGAAGAATGGTCTGGAATAAAGTGCCCTGATAGGTAGACATTAAAATTCCTTTACTCGTGTCCTCCCACATTCATCATCATCAATGTCTTATCTATCAACCAGCATCATCTGCATAAAAACTTATCCTTGGGCCCATTTTTCAACACAAGTTCAGCCTAATGAGAAAGAAGATGTTGATTCCAAGTGGTATCCCAGACATCAGAATCCATCAAAATCACTCCTCCAATTTTATCTATTACCTCTCGACTTTATGGAGCCAGATAATTCTCAATGTATACATTTTTAGATGCAAAACTTTTCACATCAACAATTCTGCAGCAGTCCTAATAAACCTAGAAGCTGCTAAAAATGATCTCATCCTTAACCCTGAGGATGTCATATTTTGTTCAAAGATTCCATACACTAGTATTAAGCCAACGCGCTGCAGCGTGTATTATTTACCTAGTTGTATCTGTCACCAAATTGATAATATGATTTTTGTATATAACTATTTATAAAAACTTTAGCGATAATTTTTTACTACTATTTATAGAGTGAATCCCCAAATCAGTTAACAAAATAATATACCAATTAGCAAGTTTTATCAATTTTCTTTAATAGAGCCAGAAAAGATCTATATGTGTAAAATGTCTGATGAAGGTTCAAATCATCACCTGCAAGAATATAAAGTAAAAAAAAAGGTAGATATGAACAGTGTTTTAAGGTTACAAAATTTTACTTTAGTTTGAAGAGGGGTCAAAAGGGGGGGATTTTGACTGCAGCATGAACAGTGTTATTAAGTTCGCTGCAGCATGAACAGTATTTAAGTTTTGGAATTATGTTGTTTGGAGAGGGTTTAATATCCTGAATTCTACTGTAGCAAGAAGAGTGTTTACTGTGATTTTCAAGGTTTTGCTTTTAAGTTAAAAGTAATAGATTGGATATATTAGTTGTTTGTTTTTTCTTTTTGGGTAGATTTAACCATAGTGAGTTTACCCTGAAAATAAATCCTTAAGGAAGAGACCACCAAACCTATCATATTTCAAAATAATGCAATAAGAAAACTATCACAATTACAACTTGATTATGTATAATTACACAATAATTGGAATATGCAAGAGAATATAGTTCAAAGTTCCAAGATGATGCGCTAACGTATCATCAAGAAAGTGAGACATACATTTGACATAAGAGGTGATGCAAAGATACAGTAGTTCCATATATTCTGGAGAAATTATGTTTTGAACATGAATGTTGATGCAAAGAGCAATTTATGCCGTTACTTCTGAAAGAACTCGAGAATTTGGCTCAGAATAGGGAATATTGCCAAAAGGCTGATTCCTTTGTCATGCTATAAAAAACTTGACCTGTTTAGGAAAATACAGTTATAGATAAAGCGTTCTACTATCATAAGAAAATATATCTGCTTTGACATCAAGAAGATAAAAAACCTGATCATCAGGAGGGCAATAGCTTCCGTTCACAAACTTGCGACAACAGCTAAACGCTTCTGGAGACAACCATACTAGAAAGTCATCAAGCCACGAAGCAGCTGGCTTTGCAATATAACTTGATTCTGATGTTAAAGATGCGTGTGTAATCTGCAGAAAAGTAACATAGAATAACATGACTGAGACAAATATGATGTTTAATCTTGAGAACTTATTAATAACAAGCTGGACTATCTATTCAAAGAAAGTTGAAAAGGTGTCATTCGTATCTGTTGTATAAAAGATAACTGAATTTCAAGACCAGGAGTATCATTAAACACGGGTAATCTTACCTCATTTAAGAGAGAGTTAGAATCACACTGACTGATAGAACATATCTGGTTTGTCTGTTCTGATTCTGAACTGAAACAAGAGTGATGAAACCAAATTAACCAAAGTATTTAATGAGAAACCAAAAAACCTGTTTGGATCAAAGGGAAAAATTGCTTTTTTATTGCAAACTTTCAGAATGACCATAACAACTAACTAAATCTGATAATCAAAAGAATCAGTTGGATTTCATTCTGAAAAATGATTGAGTGATACATACTTTATCAGTTGGATTTCTGCCAAAAAATACTTGAATGATACATACTTCTATGATAAAATCAAATAACCACCGATTAAATGGTTCTTGGATCAGATAAAAATATTTGTCTCTTATATTGTTTCAGAAATCAAAACAATTAAGTTTTTGTATGACATACTGCAAAGATATTTGAAAAATTGGATTCTTGTCAGGCATAATGATGTACTTTGATATGTGAAGAAGTGTCCGCTACAGAAAAATAAAAACTACATGTAGTGGTGGAGTATGTATTTGTCACTGAATCTGTGTACATTTGAATTCACATTTAAAAAAAGCCAATTTTTGCTTTCAAATAAATTTAATATAGAAATATTAAACTAAATCTTTATATAATACGACTCATGCAAAGTTAGGCCTTCACATTAAGCATAATTTACAGTAAAAATAGGTGGACAAAGCATTAAACATCGAACATGGTTTGACACTGGAATGATGTCAACACAGAAGAAAAATGATCTTTTAGAGGAAGAAATGAACTGTGTACCAAAGTTCATTTCTCCAGTAGCAACGAAGATCATCATGATATCACCAGTTGCACTTTTGGAACTTAGAAATCATTTACTACAAAAATTTGAATGGTCAACTGTGATACAGACTGTTCAAACATGTGCCACTTGAGACTGATAGACAAGCTAGGATTATTGGATGGGTTTAATACAAGTACCATTATTTCTCAACCCTTGATTTCCATTTCAGTAATTTTTGACAAAATAGTGGTCTCATCAAAACTTCAAATAATAGATTAATTTGGCAACTCTAATTAGGCCAAAAAATGTAATAAACCAAATAACAAAAGGGATATACCACAGGGGAAGACATAAAATGAGTTAAAATGTAACAACATAAGGGATTTGATAACTTTGTGTATGCATATGTTTACTTACAGCTGAATAATAAAGTTCAAGGTAACAAAACGAACATGCAAATTTGCATATAAAATTAAGAATAAACAATAGAGGCTAGCAATACCTATAGTTAAAGTCCTTTACAACAAAATATAAAGGTGGCCCCACTCTTAAATACTTGGCAATGTCTTCAAAATAATCCTACATAAGTGAAGGAAAAAAATCATACAACGATATAAGGTCATGAAATCTTAGCTGGTATACAAGCATTAAAGCAAACCTGAAGATATGAATCCCGGGGAAGGACAATCTGCTGCTCTAAACCAGGCTGGAGTCTAGTAGATAGGTCCTATAAGTTAAGAAAACAACCTGTATGTCTAAGAACACAGGATAAACTACTTACAGAAATGTATAAAAGAAAATGTGAAAGTCTCAACTTCCAACAAGAAATTCAACAAAAGCGCAGTGCCAAAGTTTCATGCTTCACTGTGACAGAAAAAAAGATGGGCATGCAGCTTACAGGATACAAATAAATGACAAATACAGACTTCATGAAAAATGACAGGCAAAAAAAATTGCTCTATCGTTCAGTGAATTATTTTTCCCTCCAGGAAATCAAGTAGTCTAAGACCGACACTGATGAATCAAAGTTGTAACTTAAATATAAGGAAGATCAGTTAGTCCAGCAGTGACACTGATAAATCAAAGAAGGAAACATAATAAAAGTAACTTACAATGCTGACAAAAGAAAATGCAATGAAGACAGCAATAACAATAATTTTAACTCCGGGAATCTCCAGCATTGGTGCATGGACTTCCTACAATAAAATGAAATAAAAGCAGGGTTAACATTACAACACTTTATGACGCACATTCATTCTACCAGTATGTACATGATCCTAAATTCCTACTATGTAATGACTACTGCAGAAACAACTAAATATTGCATGCATCTGCTACCATATCCGAGTGACATCTAATGCACTAAACCTTTCATTGTCAAAATGCTGAAAAGCACGTGACTGCAGGATCAAAAAGTTGAAAATTTAGGGCATTATAAAGCATGGATTACAAATGATCTCAAATAGAAATCCATTATCCACCCTCATCGATCACATTGTGCCTTTCTCATCAATATAAAAGTCGCATCATGATATCATGAAAATTAACTCATAGAAAAGATAACACTCCAACATAAAGAAGGTCCTTAGTAAATATTGCATGCATCTGCTGCTGTATTCGAGTGACATCTAACTTATAGGAAAGATAACACTCTAGTATAAAGAAGGTTCTTAGTAAAAGAGGCTAGGTATAGGCCTCACCTTCATATACCTTGCAACCAATCCTAGGTTTCTTTTCTCACCTAAAATTTCCAATTAATAAAAAAGTTAACATACAGGACCAGTTCAAATCATCACTTGAAAAGCTTCAGGAGTTAAAACTGTTTAAATATATGTATGAATAGCAGAATACCTTTATCTGATCCATGAGAGGATGAAAGTTTGATACAAGGAGCACAATCAATCCTATTATCTTTGGCCCTTAAGAAATCCAGGACTATTAGCGCAACAAAAGCTGTTACTTGCAAAAGAAAGTCTAAGAGGACAGCCAATGCTGCACAAATGCAGGCCTCAAGTCAAGAAGGCGGTACATTGAAATAAGACAAAAGGTTACATGAGTGAGATAATGGTCTAACCAGCAAACATGGAGAATACACGGCATGCTGGCATGGGAATAAAACTTCCAACAGCGAAGGCCAGAACTTCAGATAGACTGGCAAGAGTTATTGAAGGCCCAACTTCAACTAGTGCATTACTTACCCGTCCTTCTAAAGGCAATTCCAGAGGTTGCCGCTTGATAGCATGCACTAAGATACACATGTTGTCCACTCCAACCTGATATAAACATGGTAAGGAAAAGGATTAGGAATTCTAAACCTTATGATTAGGTATCTTAAGTATTTTGCAAACAAAGGTCAATTCTCTGTTGTTTCATTGAGAACTACAGGGATTTCTCGGACCAAGCAACAAAATTTTTCTATGTTATCTCTCGTCTCTCAATAATTCTTCTTTATACTCGACCGCTTTAGGTATCCTAGAAATTTGATGAACGTTTTAAATGAGAAGTCAATTTTGTTGTGGGGAAGGGTACAAATGTGAAATTTTGTAGATTTGTGGATTTGGTATGTTACCTAAATTGTTGCTTATCCTGCTATATTTGCAATAGCCACGTAAAGGAGCCTCTATTTTACAAAATATTTCCGTAATGTATGGGTTTGATATTGAATATTCATCTTCTTAGGGCTATCAATATTTCTTTTACTTATCTGTAGATCATTTTTCTGAAGATGTGATGGAAATGGACTGATTTGAGTTCAATTTTTTGTTAGCTCTTTTTGTACCTTCAAGAATAATAGTGGTTTATAATCAGGATATAGGTCAGCATGAGATTAAAATCTGATTTTCTTACTAGATCAAAATGAACTTTTTACTATGGTACATCACACTTCTTTTTTATGTTCTAACCATCGTAAGACTGCCTAGCTAGAGAAATAGTATGGTGCATCATCCATGTATTTGTTGTTCAAGCCACAATGAATCTGCTTATCCTCTTTTCATTTTGCGTCCATCTTTTAATATGAATTGACATTTTTGTGGTCAGTGCTTGTACTGTAGCCAGAAAGAATTACGCTCCATCATAGCTTATTCAACAAAAAGAATTATGTCTCTAGTTAGTTCGGGATAGCTTTAACACCATCCTCTGTTCAGGATTTGTGGAGTGAAGGGAGGCAACAAAATGTTAGTAAAGTAAAATATTTTCCGGGATGTGGGGATGTTGCAATTTTTTGGGCATTTGGAGGGAGAGTAACTGTGTAACAATAGAATTTTTCATAACTGTCAGCAACCTTGTCTCTATGTTTGTCAACAAAGAATTACTTATACTGTACTTTGGTCCTCTCTATTTCCAGGAGATAGGGGAACGAGCGGATCAATTCTTGCATGTAGCGACTCATACTTTCAACACAGATGCATCAAACTCAGAGGATCAAAGAACAGATCAAGATATCGGTATGAAGGGGCAGTAAGTGGAGCAACATGGCTGGACTTTTTTGGGGTTGTGACTCATGTTCTATTGGTCGTGTTTATTGCATAGACCTCTTGTTCAGCCATACTTCGTCGGTAATCATGTACTGTGTTCTATTGTTGGGTTGTTTCTTTTCTTCTTTTCTTTTTTTTCCATATTTGGGCTTAGCTTTGTTATGTATTCAGGCATTTCGTTAAGATCTTTCAAAGAAACAACAGGGCAGTTCTTTGGACTCACTGTATTTCTCAAAAAAAGAAAAAAAAAAGAAAAAAAAAAGAATTATGCTCTGTGGAGAGCTCATTCAAAGTTCGGAAAAGGAATATGAACTTTTTAAGCGAAATGGACGGTACGGAGTAATACTAATAGAAACGGTGAGGGGAAGGGGAACAGAAGCTACCATGAAAACTGAAAATTAAAACATTATTCTTACCTATTAAGAATGCCTGACAAGGCATAATAATCTAAAATACACAGTGATCTGTTAACAACCTGACAAAAATAATTTCAAAAGAGACCAACTAGAAAGCAGCTACAGCTTTAGAAAATAATAGAAGGCCGATGGTAATTAGAATTAACTTACTGCTAAAACAAGGAAAGGAATAACTTCCATTATGATAAGTGTGGATTCAACTCCAATGGCACTAAAGAATCCAACTGATCCAAGAACGGAAAGTATAACAACCACAACACCGGACAAGCCTAGCAATACCTGTAAAAATATATACAAATTGAACCTACGTGTATCTTATAGTAAGAATAATCAGAACTAACGAACTGCACAGAAAAAATGGACAAACTTAATTAAATAAACAATTGCCGCAAAAAATTGAATGACCCAATAACAAATTTCAATGAACACAGGAAGTCATTGAATAAGTACATTTTATTTCCACTTTAGTAGCTACATAGCCAAATGCAGAAATTCAGCTTAACGTAGTCCAGCAAACAGATGTAAAGGAAGGTTCAAATGTTTGGGTATACTATTATGTAAGCTTCTGGTTAATGGTCTGTTAATGATGGTTTGGGATCATTTAGCCAAAACATACTTCTCAATGATAACATGAAGGACCAGCAACTTTTTCTCTCTGTATCTAGACGTGAGAATATGAGTCCAGTGATAGTGAGAAAAACATGGTGCACGTCATTTTTCTATGTAGAGGAAAGCAATAACAAGATACTTGACACTAGAAGGATCACGGAAAGGCTTAAGTACGTCTCTGTTGAATTCATGAAAAGTGAATCAAGATTGTGAAAGTAAGACTTCATTTATAGTAAGGTAAACAGAATCCAGTTACATAAATTAACAATGGAGACTAAAATAAGACTACTCTAATGCTCCAATAATTTCTTTGAACTGGAAAGATCAAGATGCTTCTTCATCAGAGGCAGGCACTTCGCCGACAAACAAAAACAGAGACTGAAGTGAATAGGCCACGCCTTTGTCATTATATTTCTTATAAAATTTGTCCAATGTGGCCCTATTATTCTGTGTAGTTAGATGGTTCAACCTACAATTAAATGTGATTAAAGTTTTCCAGATATATGTATTTTTGAGATATTTTCATATCTATTAATGAACAAGGACATGATTCGCCAAAAACCTCATTAATGATGCCAGGGAGGACACTACAAAGTTCCATGGAACAACATTCAAGAGCAGTATGCGACAAGCCCCAATGACGGCAAGATGGATTTCCCGATGTCCAACGAACCCCAACATAAAATCTAACTGCACCGATTTTGAATAAATTTATGATATGAAATTCTGATCAATGAGTGTTTAAATGCCATTAAGAAAAATATGCACCCTTCTTCGGCAGAATTGACATGATGCACATTGCATCTTCAAGATATAACTTAAGTTAATCCCAGGTATAGGCTGCATATTCTCGCCTAAGTTACTAGTAGAGCAGAAAGCTGATTTTAGACTCATTACGCAGCACAAACTAGGCCAGGTGAAAGTTGTCTAAGAAATTGAGAATCAACACACAAGGGAAGAGAACAGAAACCAAATCAAAATTGTATAAAGGCCATACCTTAGATGAGGTGAAAAAGGAAGAAGACAAACGAGGAGAATCACCCAAAGTAAATGATATGTAAACGAACATTACAAGATAGCTAACCTGATTCATATTGAGAAACACACAGAAAATGATATGAAAATTTATAATATATTTTTCAGTTCAAATAGAGAAGAGGATTATAAAGACATGGAGTAGACAGCACTTACAACAATGGTTATCACATCTGCAGTACTCTCCCTTGTAAGTTCTTCCTGGACAGAACTCTCGGATGAGAAAGAAAATGTAAGATGTTGTGACTTTGCCATTGGGGTTATCTCTTCCTGCCATATATGGTGAACAAAGATATGGGTATATTAGATAAGAGTATTGATCAAACAATGACAATCTGTACATAAGATAATTCATGTAGAAGTAAATGCCAGAACATACACCAAATTTCAAGATCCCAGCCACAAGAGTGATGCTAGGAGGACCCAAATTTGGGACGGATTGGCGGGACAGGTTAGGTGGCATACTGACTGGTCAAATGAGCTGGCTATTATTATAGCTCACTGAATAAGAAAGAAAGGGTAATTCTGTGTAATAAATATTTTTATCTGTAAGAATTAACATAAAAATATAATCATTGACCCTCACCATAACTTCAGAGTTTTGGTGTGATGGTCGGAGGGACTTAATTTAAGATGGTATCAGAGCAACCCAGGTTCAAGTCCCAGCGGCCATAAATTTAAAGCGGATTTTCTAAAAAAGGGTGTCCAACCTGCGGGGTCATGTTAGAATTAATATAAAAAACCCAGGTTCAAGTCCCAGCGGCCATGAATTTAAAGCGGATTTTCTAAAAAAGGATGTTCAACCGGCGGGGTCATGTTAGAATTAATATAAAAATATAATCCTCGACATAACTTTGGAGTTTTGGTCTAATGGTTAGGAGGATTTAATTTAAGATTATCGTCTCTTCCAAAACAAAAACAGAACCTCATTTCTCCGCCGTTAGGGCCTTCGACAACATCTCTGAAGCTTCAGATATGAGCGGAAGAGGTGAGCTTCTAGTGATGATGTTGATGGCGATGGTCAGCTGGGAGATGGGTTCTATTCTTCAATTTTTAGTGAGAAAAATAGAAATTAAGAAATCTAAGAAGATGATACACCAAACCCAGTCAAGGTTATCGATAGCGGATAGCGTCGCGTAGCGGTGAGGCATCGCTAAGGCTATTTCGAGCTATTGCGACAAAATAGCGGTAAAAAGCGCAAAGTCAAATAGCGGTCTAATTTAGATATGTATAAATACTAAAAAAAATTAAAAAAAAATCTAAGAAATCTAAAAGTACATATTGGATGATTTAAAGAGATCCTAAACATGAAATAGACATGTAACCATCACGTAATACCAAAAATGACTGGAGGAGTCAAAAATTCGTTGTCTTCAAGAAGAAGAGATTAGCGGTGATAGAATTGCCCTAAGAGGATCTCACGGTGAAGGAAGTGAGAGGAAGTATCAAGGTAGGTGCCAGAGGCTATGAGAAGTGGCGGGAGTATGCTGAAAAACACAGGAGACGGTGGAATGCAATGGTCAAGGGTTGAGTTTAATTTAAAAAAAAATAAGCCTCAAACCGCTTTTAAATAGTAGTCAAAAAGCAAATTTCGAATGCAAGCGCTCACTATTTATCGTTATGACACACTATTGACCGTTTTTGCGAACAAACATTCCGCAATATGTCACCGTTATTACGCGATAGCGTAGCGGGCGATAGCGTCGCGGGAAGGGACCGCTAACGCTATTAGCGTCGCTATTGCGGGGCTAGGCGATAGCGTCGCGGGAAGGGACCGCTAACGCTATTAGCGTCGCTATTGCGGGGCTATTTACCGCTATTTATAACAGTGGCGGGAAGGGACCGCTAACGCTATTAGCGTCGCTATTGCGGGGCTATTTACCGCTATTTATAACAGTGAACCCAGTTTTCTTTCCAATTCTTTAAAGTCGAATCCCATCAGACCACCAAGTTTCATTTTTTTATAAGCAAAATGACTTAAATTAAATCTATTCCTACCAAACAACTGGAATCAATGAGTCATGTTATTGTAAGCCGTTATGGAAGTCATGTGCACAAAACTTTTTTTTAAAATAGCTGAAACAATTTAAGTTAAATCTGTACCCACTCATTCGACAATTTGAATCATACAGACAGCTAAAAAAATCAATTTTTCTTTTGTATGGTTAGAGTATACTGCACTAAGCGAAATCATGTGGACGAAATAAATCAAAATTTGATTGTTCTTTTTATTAGCAAAGAAAGGAGTCGAGGAAGAGTAGTTTGAGTAAGAACAAAAGAGTTGGGGAAGGAGAAGATGGAACAAACAGCTAGAAGAGGGCTTTCAACTTAAAATTCCAAAACAATCCCTAATTAATTCTTGAATATATCAATCTAGCCTCCACATCAGCTGTCCCCTAGAGAAGTTGAGTAAAAAAGTCTCTGATATCTTTTTCCTTTTTACATTAATTCTCCATTATTTTTAGAAATCTCAAACTCGAAGGTGAAATAAGGTATTATGGAAAAGTTTAAATCACTACAATGGACTTGAAATACAAAAAGGTCATTTTCGTTAAATAAGCTCTGTCAAAGAACGTCCTCCATAAAAATATCACAAATTTGGAGTAATTCCAATCTTGGTTGATGCTTTTCTACTCTAATACCAAATAATGAGGAATATGCTACAATGGAGAAGAACAAGGATAACTAGGTTTAGATTTCATGCCTGGATCAATGACTTCATGATGATTGTCTTTACTTTTGAGGTTTTACACTTCATAAAAGTAGGATAGCATCACAAAATCCAATGAAATCAGAATTTCCACAAACATCTTCATCTATTTTGATTGAAAAAAGAACAATCTTTTACAGGCTTCCCAGATCATCAAGAAATCTTGTATCACCATATATGATCTCTCATGCATCTCGTATATAAACCTAAATCATTCTCTTGTTCTTAACAGTGAATAGTTGTATTCTCCATCGTTATTTGCTCAGGGTTTGAACTAGTTTCACTTCATAAAATGCTAATAGGATTGCGTCCAGTGGGCGTGCGCACACGCGCGCGCATGTGTTTGCATATTCATACCATCTTTACATATTTACTTGTAAGTTGTAATTGTGCATCATTAATTACTTAATTCCTATGCATTTAGGAATTAGTTTGTCTAAGCATAACTTATTGCCTGTAAGGGTAAACCAGAAATTTTCCCAGTCTGTGCGACTATTTTCTCCCCTTTGGTTCAGTATTCGACAAGGACGCTACTTTCCCCGCAATTTGAGCTAGTTCCATAATATGAGTCACGAAACCCTAACACTTTATTGCTATGTTTTGATGGATGGTAGAGAAGGGAAGGGGAAGAGAAATTTGAATTAAACCTTGTTTGGGAGTTTTATTGGGAGAGTAGAGAAGGGGAAGGCGAGAAAATTTTACACTAAAATCTTACACCCCAAATTGAGGGGTAAAGGAGGGGAAGGGAAGGGAAGGAAAAATTTACCCTTCCTTCCCTTCCCTTAGCGAGCTCCCAAACAGAGCATATGGGAAAACTATGTTTCCACAGCTGCAAGGATGTCAAAACTTCAGAGAATGAAACAGACGCTGGATTGGTAAACATGGACCACTAGTGGCATGCAATAAAAGAAACTTCAATTACTGAAAATTTTAACCTTGACTAATTGGACAAATGCCTTTTCCCATGCCACAGCTTTTCCATTTTCATTGCCTGTTCTATCTACCTCATTGTTGACAGGATATGTAATTACAAATGCAGATGCCTGCATAAAAATCATGAATTTCAGCAAATTGTTATCTACGTGTAAGCTGAATGAGTTTCACTTGTTACCTCCGAGTAGTTGCTCCCTGAAAAACCGCCTAATGCTGTGCTTGGATCAAGCGGAGCTTGAAATGCACTCAGGCATGACTCCGCTGAAGAATAATGCTGATGGCATGTCACCGCAAATATTTCAGGTATTAAGCATTTACATTTAGTAAATGATGCACACAATTTGAAAGATAAATTAAATTAAATCAATTATTCATCTGCAAAATATTAGGAAAATGTGTTCCAGGTAACATTCGTATTATACCAAAGAGGAAGGCCTGTGGTAGTTATATCATCCAGTTAACTTGCAATATCAAGATAGTTAGAATATGAATATGAATGGGGATAACAGTTTTTGGAATAAAAAAAATTTTCTTAAAATTCAGAATAATAACAGGACATATGGAAGCCTGAAAAAAAAAAGCAGTAGGTCACCCAGCATGAAATACAGCCTTGCTCAGCTATTGAACCAGGAACCACAAATAAAATAAATACGAGCATCGAGAAAGTGCACATACCAGAAAACAATACTCTGCATGATCTACTCCCCCATATTCACTGTATTTCTCTGGATCCATTTTGAAATACTGATAAGAAAGAAAAGCATCCCTTGATTAAAGAAGATTGTGCCTCAATTTCACACAAAAAAGAATAAGCATGTGCGTATGCCCGGAAATAATGAGTCAAGAACACTGGTCCTAGGAGATAATAAACAATCAAATCGAAATCAATGGATTTACCAAAGGTCAAACTGTGATCCATCATTATATTACAAGCCAACCCTGAAAACTATACACTTGAAAAGACAATGGCATGCCAAGCATCCTTCACTATAATTTATATGAGTTTATCCAAGAAATGCAATCAAGAATATTATTTACACATCCGTAAAATAATATTAATAACAATAAGAAAATTGTAAAACTTATTGGTCAAACCACCTGCATGTAAATCATACCAGAAATTTGGATGGCAAGCAATCTAGAATTGAAGGCCCAGCGTGATTATGGCAGATACATTGTTGCCAGAATACTCCCATGACAACAACATAATGGAAGGATAATGATGTGTTACTGAATGATATAAAGCAGATGTGTTTAAGTGAAGCAGAACAAAAAGATATACTACCATCCATATCTAGAAATCCAAATAGCATCCTTACAAAACCATCAATTTAGAATGTTAAGACACAATAGTAATGTAAGACGACTATGGAGCAGCTGGTATGATATGATGATATCATTTTATTTAGTCTCTCTATGGAAACATCAGAGACAAAAGTATCACAAGAGAACAAAAAACATGAAGGAGATGATTCAGGAAGAATTAAGGGCATAAAAGCTCCATTTCTTGAGAGCCAGAGTATGGGATAAGGTTGCTTCACTCAAGACCGTGAAAACAAATGTCTAACATAAAAGTCCATAAGAGAACAGAGAAAATAGAAGACGGTTTTAAGTACGGATGCACATCGGGTCACATTTGTACCTAAACCTGCCTGATCCCGACCAGAAATTACAGGTTCTAGAACTCTTGAAAACCCCCCAAATAACAGATGGTTTATTTTTTGGTATATATATATACCTTTTATATCATCCATATTGCAAAACTAAACCACGGGCTTCAGTTGCAAAACTAGTCATCAACATTGGAGACCCCCCTCCCCCACCCCCCCTCCCCAAAAGAAAGATCAATAGTTGTTCCCGGTCAAATGGTTTAGGGTATTTTCTATTGTTTTACCCTCAGTCAAATCAGCCTGCATCTGAACTTTTCTTTTTGGGTGTGGTGGTTGTTGTGTGTGTGTGTGTGTGTGTGTTTTGGCCCCCAGGTGGGGTGGGGGTGGAGTTGTGCAACTAATTAGATTTTTTTGGTGCGGGTGGGGTGAGGGAGTAATTCGGAAATATGGATGATATAAATGAGGATGAGGCATATTAACAAAAGCACAATGGAGATAGATCATGACCTGACTATACATACAAAGGAAGCACGCAAAAATTGATAAAAGCAAACAGGAAATAGAGAATTGGCAACAGGAGCACACTGGAAAAGCATATCAATGTCATGTATGAGCCAGCTTAACATATTAGTTGCTTCCTAAAGAACCTTAAATACTTATGAAAGCTGGTAAGATCTAAAAGATAGGGATAAAATTGAACCTAAAAATAATAGAAATTTGAGCAGCTTAGGAACTTCCTTAAGAAAATTAGAAACATGGAAAATAGACGTAAAAATGAACCTGCAAAACACTTTGGGTTGCACAGTCATCACCAAGTGGTTTTAAGCAAATGTCAGTAAGAGAAACCATGGATCCAGAATAATTTGCTTTAAGTCCGTCAATCTGTCAACATTAGGAAGTAAACGAGCCGGTATTCATCAGACAAGAAATAAAGTTGGAACAATGGAACTAAAATTGAGTACCTTATTTTGTATTTCGAAGAGTAATTTTATATTTTTGTCCGTTACAATACTGGGTGATTTGCCATCTTTAGAATCTGGAATAGTCGCCAGTATAAGCTGCACAGACAACGATGTAAAGAAAAAGTGTGATACGCACAGAGAATATGCAGCATAACTAAAATAATGCATCATAAAATCATATTAAAACTACAGATTAAAGAAACATCCAAAGCTTCTCATATATAGAAAATGGCTTCTATGGAAAAAGGCCCAAAATGAACTCTAGAAGTCTTCATGAAGGATTCAAAGAGTGACTTTGACAAATGATTCAAAGATGTCTTAAGAAATCTGATTTATACAATTAGAAATTATATCCATGCCAGATTGAGTTTCCATATTATAAGTTGGCACCATATCACACTTAATAGTCTGTTGAGAGAGTTGTTTATTTCTTATTGTTTAGTCCCACATTAGTTAGGGACAAATTTTTTTCTTTCCCAAAACACTATTAATAACATTCAAGAGAGAAGTAATAATCTCTCTAGGGTTTCACATTAACATGGATGACTTTTCTAGCATGACTTGGATTTACTTGCTGAAAAGTCGTTCTAAAGTAAAGCGTTCTCTATATTTAAAGTTTTTCATGCTAAGGTTAAAAATCAATTTCATAATACCATTAAAACTTTAAGAACATATAACGTTAAGAAATATTTTGATAGCTCTTTCACAAAATATTTGAAAGAAAATGGAATTTTACATCAGTCGTCTTTTATTTACACACCCCAACAAAATGGGATGACTGAGCGCAAGAACAGACACTTGCTAGAAATTGCAAGGATCCTTTTATTCCATCGTCAAGTTTGAAAATATTCTTGGGGAATGACATTTTGATAGCTTGCTATCTGAACAATAGATTGCCTTCATTTCTCTTACAGAACAAAGCTTCGATATCCCTTTTATATCCAGCTAAAGATGCTTTCTATTTATCTCATAAGATCTTCGGGTCTCTATACTTTTATTCACAATTATAGTCCTCAATGGACGAAATTAGATTCGAATTCTCTTAAGAGTATTTTTTTCTTGGATACTCTAGGACTCAAAAAGGGTATAGATCTCAAAAAGGGTACAAATGTTATTGCCCCTCCTTGAATCGGTATATTGTTTTAGCCAATGTTACCTTCTTTGAGAACAACCCAGTATATGTTGCATTTCATAATTCTTTAGACCCTCCCGATGATTATGAATACCTTATTGTTCGGAAAATCATTATAAATGTTCTTTCAAAGATTACTATACAAACTGATCTACCATCCAAGTTTGCAAAAGCAGTTTAAGATTTTACAAAACGTACTGTCCCACAACCTGAGCCATTGTCCAAATCCACCCAATAGCCTAATATACTAGTAAGTCAAAATATGACAGCACAGCCAAGTGCTCAGCCTACTTATAATCTTCCCATTGCCCTCCTAAAGGGTAAGAGATCTTAGTCTCGGTATCCTCCTACACACTGTCTCTTACTCCTTATTATCTCCATCATATTATTCTTTTATATCTTCTTTGGATTCTCACTCGGTTCCCAAGAATTTATCAGAAACTCTATCTAAGTTAGGTTGGACGGTGGCAATGCAAGAAGAGATGATAGCCATAGAACGAAGGAGACTTGGTATCTTGTTTCACTACCAACGGAAGAAAGCGTTTGGCTCCAAATGGGGTTTATACTATCACAGTAAACCCATATGGTTCTCCAGTTCGCCCCAAAGCTTGACTAGTTATAAAGGGATATTCACAGATCTATGGTCTTGATTATAGCGATATCTTCTCTCCTGTAGCTAAGATGAAATCTGTTTGCATTCTTATTTCGTTGCCGCTTATTATCATTGGCCACTATATAGGTTGGACGCGTTAAGAATGCATTCCTTAGTGGTATTCTTGATGAGGATGTTTATATGAAGCAATTACCAAGTCTTGTTTTTCAGGGGGATTGTAGCAAGATTTGTACCCTCTACGACTTGGAGCAATCTCCGAGGGCTTGCTTTGGCAGCATTTGTCCAAACCTTTGGTCTTCATTGATCTTAGAAAGATCACTCAGTTTTCTAGAGACTTCATGGTGGGAAACAGATCCTTTTGATTGTATATGTTGACAACATTGTGATCACCGGCGATGATGCACATGGCATTAATCATTTGAAAAAGTATCTACAACAATAATTTCAAACCAAGGACCTTGAATCCTTGAAATATTTTTTGGGTATCAAGGTAGCTAGATCGAATGAAATTCTTTTATCTTAGGGAAAATATGTGCTTAATATGTTGCTAAATGCAGGGATGTCAGAATGCAAGGGCATTGACTCATCTATGGATGATAAGGTCAAACTATTACCAACTCAGGGGGAGTTACTGAAGGATATTGAAGAATACAGGTGACTTGT